TTACAATTTTATATATTTATATGCCTTTGACATTTTCTCGTAAATGCATTAATAACGAAGTTATGACTAGAAACAATTGCGCAGACCATCCTGTATGTATAGCACGCATATTGTATAGTATTGGGAATATAATAATAAATAAATAATATGTATAGTATTGAGAAATGGAGAGGGAAATAATAACATAATTGTTATTTATCAAAAGTATATGCAACAAAAATATTTACTTTATGTAATAATTTTACAGAATTCGCGTGTTTATTTCTACTTACGCAGTTCGAAAATGTTTGATATACCGAATTATAATTTTTTGAATAAGTTGTTCCAGAATATTATATTACATATATATATATATATATATATATATATACATTCTTACATTTACACGTATTTTGAAATGATTGACAAATATTATCTTTGTTCGGCTGGCACTAGAAATTTTATCGTTGTGATATCGCTGCATATCACTTCACTTTTCCTCTTTGTTCAAATATCTTTTCGGTCGTTGTAAAACGTCACATTGTCCTTTAGAACTTTAAGTGAAAGACTAACATAAGTAAATTTCTATGGATAACGTTGATGCTACAGTGCCATAATGAAAAGAAGGTTGAATGCTGTTATTAAGGTACTGATAAGATAACGAACATTGGTACTAATCCTAAATGTACAGCAAAAACATTCGAAAGGAGGAGTAGCGATTCAGTGGGCATAGCGCACGTGATCAAGATACTCGCTTCACACAACTTATCCTCCGCACAATAGTTTTTCTTTTACGCGATACACAACATCGATAGAGAATCGTATTACAATCGATCGCGCGCTCTAATGTGACCAGTGATCAGTAGTTCGTGGCAGTAAAACAATCGTGACAAGTGTCCTGATCGTCGGTGACTTCTAATTCTCTTAAGAACAACAAATTTCTATTAATAGTGATGTTAATTTCTCCATAAAAGAGAACATGATTCTTCAAACGGTGTGGCGCAGACTGTAGCAGAAATTAGAAGATAAGTTATTCGACAATGTAAGTCACTCCTAATGTTGTTTATGTCATTAAATCTGCTGTATTCGCTAGAATGCTACAGCATTAGTTCGAAACTTTCACTAAACAATTTCGATTATCTTTTAAATTGATTTCAAATAACATATTATAGATAAATATAAAAAATAACAAATAACATATTTTATTCTAATAACAATTATTCATTACTCATAACAAATTATTCTATCCATTTATTTGAATAAATTATTCGAATAGCGATTGCAAAGTTATTCGAATAATAATGCCAATGATTGTTGATCTTCTTTTTTACGTAATATTCTAACCATATTTATGTTTTATAAATATGAAATATTATTTAGTTATGTATCAATGACCAATGTACCAAAACGTAACAAACTTTCCGATGCAGTAGTAAAAAGAAGATTAATTGTCAAAATTAACATGGGAGAAATTAATCAATAAACTGTAGAAAAACACTATATTGTTGACCAATAAAAAGAATTAAGAAAATATTCTATATATTGGACCTTTATTAGATAAAATTATACAAAACTAAATCTATTATAATACCTGACTAGATTAGAAATAGATTAGAAATACCTGACTAGAAATAGGGTAGATAGCACGATACACGCATAAACAACATTGTTACTGAAGTTCTAATCTATTGTACTTGAAATTCCTATAATCATCACTATTCGGAAACTATGTTCGAATGTGGGTAAGCTTGATCGTTCTCCTTTGATTTTTTTGCTAAACATGTAAAGAGTAGAGTAGAGGAGTAGAGAGCTTTTCTTTTCACAACAATATCATTTTTATTTGATCGCTCAATATAATAAGTAAATCATTATTAATAAATCATAATGGCATTTTTTCTATTAACCGTTATCTAGAATGATACAAATTTTGCACTCAAAACTAATCCTTTTGCAGATCATATACACCTTTTTGCACCAAACACTAATTCTGTTACAAATAAATAATCTTTATTAATTTTCAACAATTATTTATAAAATATCATTCCGTTTCCGAAATTAATATAAATTTGATTATAAATAATTGCAAAGAAGTGAATTTAATTTACAAATGGATGAATTTTGCTTGTAAAAGCTACTCTGTCAGAAAGCGATTTGCATCAATAATTCGTTTCCCGCGCTTTTGGGAACACTAGGAACACGGGATAGCACTCAAACGGTTAAGTTGTCATTCTAGCAAAGTGAATTTATTGTTCTTGGATGAATCTAGGGATCCCCAACCAGTTAGTGAATCAAATTTTCAAGATATTGCTAAGTGAAAAATAAATGTTCATGTGCTAAGGAGATCTCTTTTAAAGACCAGTCAACTAGTTAAGAATATCCAACTGCCAAATTTCCACTGTGTTAAAACAAAGGCTTGTGGAACAAGCAAAAATAATACATGATATTTTTGAACTGCGGCAAGTGTAGTTATGATAATGAAACTTTTAAATGTCGATCTTTGCTATACTAACTCGGATACGATTATGGAAAATATATATGTAGTATGTACAGTACTAAATAGAATTTCAATTATGAGCATTACAGTATTGACCGTAACAATTTCTTAACCGTAGATACAAGAAATCCATTTCGGACTTTTTGCCATTAGAATAAAGACGAATGAAAATGCTATTTCTGTATTCAAGGCTGGTTACTATTTATAGATGTTAAGCACAATTTATGCTATAATCTCAGCACAATTTCGGCAATAATACTACTCGTCGTGAAAATGGTTGTAAAATAACGATTTTTATAACAGATGATATGAAGTAAATGAAAGATACATAAATCGCGATAAAAACGAACGTAAGCTGATGCTATGTTATCTTTATAGTAGCTTGTGCTAACAAGAGACGTAGAAGTTCCTTTCTCTCTAAATACACATAACATACATCATATTCCTTAGTTAAATCATATAATGTATTTATTTCGCATGCACTATATAGGCATTAAATTATAGCAATATGCACATTCGAAATATGTAACAATATTTTGATTTTTTCAGTATTCTTCATATACACTTACCGACAAAAGTTATGAAACTTTATATATCGTAAATATTTGAGTAAAATTTGATATTTTTACAGATATATGTTTGATTAAATTAGAGGTATTTCTTATAGTGAAGCGTATGACACATTGTTTATATTGCAATGTTG